TCCAGGTGGGGCCTGAGCAAAGCAGAATACAGTGGCACTATTACTTCCGTCTATCTAGACATTATGTTTCTATTGCTTAACCATATTTAGAACAGAACTATTGAAAATCAGTGTGACTCTTGTTAATCTTGATTACAATTAAGTCCCACTGATTTCAGGGAGGCTGCTATAAGTATGGAACCAGTGTGGTGTAGTAATTCGAGTACTGGACTAGGACTCTGATAGACCAGGGTTTGAATCCCCACTTGGCCATGGAATCCCACTGAGTAACTTGGGCATGTTATATTCTCTCAGCCTCAGAGGAGGGCAAAGGCAAACTCCTTCTGAGCAAGCCTTGTCAGGAATACCCTGTGACAGGTTCGCCTTGGGGTTACTATAAGTGGGAAATTTGAAGGCAACCAACACAACAAGCTATAAGTATGACTAGATCTGGATTCAACCATTATCTTGGATACTTATGAATGTGTTATAACAGCATGTGTCTGTTTCTGTTTCTGTTTCTGTTTCTCTCTCTCTCTCTCTCTCTCTCTCTCTCTCTCTCTCTCACACACACACACACACACACACACACACACTATTTCGTGTTTCCCAGTGTTTATGGTGCATATCTGTACAGGTTGTTGTTGTTGTTGTTAGCTGTCCTTGAGTTGGTTCCAACTCATGGCAGCCCTGTGGATGAGACATCTCCAAGAATCCCTATCTTCCACTCCCCATAACCCCCCTGATTAAGTCTATCCATCTGGTTTGTGGTCTTCCTCTCTTTTTTCTACCCTCTACCTTTCCTAGCATTAGCATTTTTTCTAGAGATCTGTGCCTTCTCATTTTCTGGCCAAAGTATGATAGTCTCAACTTGATCATCTTTACTTCCAAGGAGAGTCCTGGTTTGATCTGTTCAAGAACCCATTTGTCTGTCTTCTTGGCTGTTCATGGTATCCTAAGTACTCTTCTCCAGCACCACATTTCAAATGAGTTGATTTTCTTTCTGTCTGCTTCCTTCACTGTCCAGCTCTCACATTCGTACATGGGAATTGGGAATACAATGGCCTAGACGATTCTGACTTTAGTGCTCAGTTGTAGTCTTTGCTCTTCAGTGTCTTTTCCAGTTCTTTCATAGCTGCCCTTCCCATTCCTAGTCTTCTTCTTATTTCTTGACTGCAGTCTACATTCTGGTCAATGTTTGATCCTAGATATGGGAATTCTTTAACTATTTCAGTTTCCTCGTTGTCTAGATTGAATTTGTGTATTTCTTCTGTGGTCATTATTTTTGTTTTCTTTATGTTCAGCATCAGACCTGCCTTTGCACTTTCATCTTTGACCTTTCTTATTAACTGTACAGGTACTACTTTGTATATGCATTTGTTGTTTACAATATCCCAACGGCAGAGCTATATATTTCTACATATATCTGTGTTGTTTGTGCTGGGGTATTGCAACTCTAACTAAATTTCCATGTGTGATGTGTGGATGTTGCCACATGAGAACACTCTTTAATCTATCCCATTGTAAAATTTGTTAATTGCTCTACATCATTTCCTGCCTCCCTCTATGGTGCCAGCTCAGCCCTTTGATGTGCAAACAATGAAGCATCACTTTGAACTGGCAAGAAAGCTCTAGGTTTGGTTCTTTTTCCCACCCCATACCCCATGGCAAGGCCTTGGCCTCTGTGCTTTGAGGACTGACCCTGACTCCAACCTACCTGTTTGCTAGGTATCTCTCTCAAAGCCAAGATCAGATTGTTTTGGCTGAACATCAGATTTCTTCTGGTTTGATTATTATACACCTCACTAGATAATTTTTAATATGAGGGTGAGTTACAAATGAAAAACAGGCATCTGGTTTGAGCACTGGTCCACAACTCTGGAGATCAGAGTTCAATTCCCACTTGGCCATGGAAACCCATTTGGGCGCCCTTGGATGAGTCACATACTCTCAGCCCCATAAAACCCCCTGATAGAGTCACCATAAGTTGGAAAGGGCTTGAAGGCAAACAACAAAAAGGAGAGTGTCTAGGGTTGCCAATCTTTCAAGCAGATAACATTCTATAAAAGTGTTTATGAGGGACAAAAACTCAGCAGGTGCAACTTTCTTGGTTGCTGCATTTCTGTGCTTGGGGAGACTTTTGTTGCTGTAAAAGCACAGTATGACTATGGGGAACATGGCAACTCTTAATTTCATTTCATTTCACTTGATATCATTGCAGATGATCTTGGGAAAGTAATGTTTGGACTACAACTTCCAGAATCCTCCAGCCAATTGGCCACCAAGCATCTCCAAACAATGCTCCAGCCCAGTTAAGAGATTAGGAGTGCACTATAGGAGTTGTATGCTCTTCCTGCTCTTTCTTCCTTTGTGTTGTGAATCCTCTTTCTCACCTAAACCATAGTTAATTGTTGTTATTTGCCATCAAGTTGACTTCAGACTGTGGTGACCTTATGAATGAGAGACCTCCAAGAGCCATGGTCCATCAGATCTTGCAAATCCAGATGTTCCTAAACTGTCACTAAACCTGAAAGATTTCCACAAATAACCAGAGTTTCAGATTTCCTGGTTAAGAGGGGAACTAGTTTCAACTTAACTACAGTTTTCAGTGTGTTAATGGAACATATTTGCACAGATTTTATAACAGCAGGGAGGAGATGGAGGGGAGAAGAGTGTCATCCCATAGCTTGTTTTTGAGCTTTTAACTGCAATTAAAGACCACATCTTTGGTCAAATGGAAGGTGGGTTGAGGGATGTTTATGTCCTCCTACATTTCTGGAAGTGGGTTTCCACACTTTTACTTACCACAATGAGACTTAAAAGTGCTTCTGTTTTTGTTGTTGCTGAACTCAATTTGTTATGCAAAAAATGTAAAATCTACATTGTCAAGAACGTTCATTCTCATTAGAAAGACTTCTTTGACTTTGTGCTTGTTGTGTGCCTCCAAGTCGTTTTTTGACATGGTATCAGCAGGGTTTTCTTGGCAAGATTTGTTCAGAGAGGGTTTGCCACCACCTTCCTCTGAGGCTGAGAGAGTATGATTTGCCCAAGGTCACCCAGTGGATTTCCATGGCTGAGCAGGGATTTGAACCCAGGTCTCCAAAGTCATAGTCCAACACTCAGACCACTACACCACGCTGGCTCTCTCTTTGATTTTAATTCCACATTAATAATTCTCCTTAAATTAATGGTTTCCTTATCACACACAACTGGATTGCAAAGGAAGTATTTTTTGTGTTGCAACTGGAAGTTAAATTCCTTGGACTTTGAGAATCTCCCAGTATCCACATGGCCAGAAGGAGGAGAGGCCTGCCTGTATGAATAAGCCCTCCATACCATCTGAACTGAGAACAGCAACAACAAAATGCAGGCCTATGACTAACATCTTCAATTTTTTTCCCTGTATGGTTTTTAACACCTTGGCTGATGAAGAAGCCAGTGGAGCTTTGAAAGCCTGCAATGTGTATACTGTGCATTTTGGTTGGCCCTATAAAGGTATCACTGTTTGGTGGATTTTGGATGTTATTGGACTTTGCTATATGGTCAAATACACACAACAAAGGTGCACTTCACACCTGATGGTTCCAGGCCTTTCAGGCTCTTTAAGTCTCACTTCCTCCAATACCTGAGGAGGCCTCAGACCTTCTTCCTTTCCTTAGCACAGAAAGTTCTTTGGCGAAGTGAAATTTCACCCGCTGAGTCCCAGCCCAGCTGCCCATAGTCGTCTCTGTAACCCAGTGATTTGCGCAAAGTTCTCCTCCATCGGAAAAACAACAAGCAGCTTCCACTCGGGGGACAGGCTGTTCCCCCGACAGGTCTCTGTTTCATCTTGTCTCCCGCCACCTGAATGACGGAAATTGAAGGAAGCAGCCAAGCGGTTCGGATGCAGTCGTACAAAGGCCTGCGAGCCCCGTGTGGATACCCAATGACTTGTCCAATTTGCTCGTGCCGTGTAGCCCCGGCTTTGAAGACACCTGCTTAGCATAACATGGCGCTCAGCATCTGAGCAGCATCTGCTGCCAGTCCCACGCCATTCAATTAGGGGGGAAAAACAAGGCAGGGAGGCGGGCAACCTCTTCTCTCTGTATTAAGTTGATGGTTTGGGTGGGGGTACTGAGAGGAGAACATCCATCGGCAAAAGTGAATACTTCTGGAGTGGGATGGGGCCACTTTTTGAAACTCTGACCTCTGTGAGACTAAGCAGTCGCCCAGCTTTCTTTGGGATGTTAAAGGAGGTGCTGAACTCATTAATTTTCCTCTTATGGCATACATCAATGCCTCTTCATTATAAGCCTTTCCCCTAGAAAAGTCCCCTGAAAGTGGATTTCCAAGTTCACTCAAGTCAGGACTCTACATTTGTGCCAACTTTCAGCTTGATTAGATGGACATGCAGAAGTAGGCGGGAAGCCCTTCTCTGACATGGCATGTTTTTAACTTGTTGGTCCATTCCCTTAATCATACCCATCTAGTACAGGTTGTTTTCCCTTACCTAAAATGCTTGGGACCAAAAGTGATTTGGATTTTGGCATTTTTCAGATTTTGGAATATATGCATATGTTTGTTGTGTGCCTTCAAGTAGTTTCTGGTTTATGGCAATCCTAAGGCAAACCTATCATGGGATTTTCTTGGAAGGATTTGTTCAGAGGAGGAGGTCCTGAGGCTGAGAGAGTGTGACTTGCCAGAGGTCACCCAGTAGACTTCATGGCTGAGCTGGGAATCAAACCCTGGTCTCCACAGTCATAGTTCAACACTCAAACCACTACTCCACATTGCATATGCATAATGAAATATCTTGGAAATGGGACTCTTGTCTTAAACCTGAAATTCATTTATGTTTTGTATATACCTTACACACACAACCTAAAGGTAATTTAATACACAATATTTCGAATCATTTTGTGCATGAAACAACATTTGTATACTCTGAACCATCAGAAAGCAAAGATGTCACTATCTCACTATCTGAAATATGGGAATATTTCTGATTTCAGAATTCCAGATAAAGGACACTCAATTTGTATAACTTTCACCTCTCTCTGGCTATGCCTGGTCTTTAAAGAACTAGATATAAGTATGGTCAAAAAGAAATGAATGTCTGGGCATGTACGTAGGGAGCATAGCATTCTTTTAGGGCCAGCTTGGAGTAATGGTCTGCGCGTTGGACAAGGGCATGGGGACCAGAGTTTGAATCCCAGCTCAACCATGGAAACCCACTGGGTGACCTTGGACAAGTCAAACTCTCTCAGCCTCAGAGGATGGCAATCGCAAATTCTGAAGAAACTTGCCAAGAAAACCTTATGATAGGTTCATCTTAGGGTCTCTATAAGTCAGAAATGACTTGAAGGGACACAACAACAAATAAGCTTTCTTTTGATGCAGATAACAGGGCTTCCACACAGTTTGAAGCAAGGAACTCAGATAGTTCTCCTGAGAGCATGGTGATGTGAGAGAACTGTCCAAATAACTGAAAATTGTTAAGGTCCTATTGCTTATTGTATCACCATCAGAAATGCTGGGTTGGGTACTCCACACCTCATTTTCATCATTGTTTTTCACCTAGCGTTCATAATTATTAATTCTGGCACTTGATTGCCTCTACTTAGCAATCATAGAGATCACATTTATCATATGGGCTCAAATATGTAGCTTCTGTATGCTCATGTCCATTCCAGATTGATTGGTTGAGTATTGAATCATAGAATCATAGAATCATAGAGTTGGAAGAGACCACAAGGGCCATCCAGTCCAACCCCCTGCCATGGTTTGTTTGTTTGTTTGTTTGTTTGTTTGTTAAACTGCCCTTCATCTGCACAGGATCTCAGAGTGGCATACAGAAAAGCACAAATGTCATAAAATGTAGACAGAGAAGAAGACCATAAGCCAGATGGACAGATTCAATCAAGTAGGTCATGGGCCTGAATCTACAAGACCTAAGCAGTGGTCACGGAGTGAAGTACAGGGGGTCGTAGAGATTGCCATGAGCCACGGTTGACTTAGGGGCACTTAACAACAAACAATAGCAGTCTGTATCAGAAGTCATACCTTAAAGAGGAACCCCCACCAGTATGAACTCTCTTATGAATCCTTCCCTGAAGGGAACTTTCTGCCTGATTAGATAATATTTGACAGCTCTTTTGTAGAAATCAAAAATATCAACCTCGTGAAGCAGGGGCCTTCTTAGTGGTTGTTCCCATGTTATACAAAAAGCTGTTAAATGTTTTAGATTGGCTGCAAGGAAAGCAAAAAGCAAAGAAAATTTCTTCCTCTGCTTCAGCTCTATATGTTCTATAGGTACTCACTGTAAAGCAGGACTTTTAAGATTCAGGCAGTATCTGAATGTTCACTTGAGACACACACACACGTTTCTCATTTGCAAGATAATGTTTATTTGATAAGCATCATGAAGTCCATGCACACACACATCAAGAAAAATAAAGATTAAAATGCACCAGACCCCATCTGATATTGAAAGCTAGGCAATCCAGGTTAGTCCTTGGATTGAAGACCATCAATGAATACCAGGTGCTGCAGGCTATATTTCAGAGGAAGACACTGGCAAAATTACCTCTAAGTATTCCTTGCTTAAGAAAACCATATGAAATTCATGGGGTTACCATAAATTGACAGGTGGCTTGACAGCATATATACAAGACATACATTGTTACAAATAATCAGTCGGGTGAGATTAAAATACATATTTAGCACTGGGTCTAAATAAGGCACAGCCAGCCAGTGAAGAGGACAACCAACTATCCAGATCCAAGGAATTCTAGAAGAACATCAACATGCACTTCATAGACTACAGCAAAGCCTTTGACTGCATAGATCATGAAAAACTATGGATTGACTTTGGATCAATCTTAAAGAAATGGGTGTACCACTACATTTGATTGTCCTCATGCAAAACCTGTACTCAGGACAGGAGACAGAATAAGGAAAACGTAATGTTTCTCAAACAGAAAGGTCATTTATTTTGAATTTATAAAAATCCTCTGTATCCCATCACCCTTTGAGTTGTTCAACTTGTTCACAAAAAACATCATACACAGAGAAGGTTTAGACTTGGAGGAAGGATGAATGAAGATTGGAGGAAGCAATATCAACAGTACGATATGCAGATGACTGTTATACTACTATTTGATCCAAGGTATGGGAATTGTTTGACTGTTTCGATTTCCTCATTGTCTAGACTGAATTTATATAGATCCTCCATGGTAGATATTTTTGTTTTATTTATATTCAGCAGTAATCCTGCTTTTGCACTTTTTTCTTTGACCTTCCTTAATAATTGTTCTAAGTCTGTGATATCGTCTGCTAGTAGTATGGTGCCATCTACACATCTTAGATCAGGGGTAGGCAACCTTTTTGAGCCAGGGGCCGGGTTGCTGTCCCTCAGACAATTGGGGGGCCGAAGCACCCTAAATAAATAAATAAATACATAAAAATAAAAAAAATTTAAAAATTTTAAAAATTAAAAATATATGCATGCACACTCTGTCAGCCTCAGAAAAGCCATGGCAAAACCCCTGTGGAGATTTTGCCAAGAAAACTCCAAGAACAAGTAATAACAACAATAATCAATATCATTATGGTGGGCGGCGGCGGCGGCAAGACCAGCCTGGGGCCGGTCCAAAGGCCTCATGGGGCCGCATCCGGCCCCCGGGCCTTAGGTTGCCTACCCCTGTCTTAGATTGTTGATGTTCCTTCCTTTGATCTTCACTCCTCCTCCTTCTGAATCTAAACCTGCTCTTGATATGATATTTTCTGCATACAGGTTGAACAGATAGGGCAATAGAATGCAGCCTTGCTTGACCCCCTTTCCAATTGGGAACCATTCTGTTTCTCTGAGTTCTGTTTCTACAATAGCCTCTTGTCCTGAGTACAGATTCCTCATCAGGACTATGAAATGTAGTGACACTCCCATGTCTTTAAGAACAATCTGTAGCTTTTCGTGATCTATGCAGTCAAAGGTTTTGCTATAGTCTATAAAATGCATGCTGATTTTCTTCTGGAATTCCTTTGTGCGCTCCAACGCTTCTTCATTTCCTGAACCCCACTTGCACCACTGGGATTTCTCTCTCCATATATTATTGGAGTCTGTGTTGCAGATTTTTGAGCATGGTTTTGCTTGTGTGGGAAATT